TGATGAAGACTACATTCTGGAGTTGAGGCAAGAAGTGCCTCAGGTACAAAATTTAACATACCCTCCAAGGAAGAACGTGGCTATGAATATGGTTGGAGCGGAGCTAACGGGGGATGGCTGATTTTTCTTGGGCAGGGCAGAGATTTTTCCGTCAAGAGGAGCTAACTGATAAATATAAAATGTTAAATTTGATTGCGGTTTTGAACTTCACCCCAATTGGACGAAAAACTAAATGGCCCGGTTGCTATACACACTTGGGAAGGGACAAAACATAAGCATCCCCTCCTTCATTTTGACCAAGATGAAGAAAGGATGCAACGTGAAAAGAAACTCACTTTCCTTTGGCACCTTGGTTACGGAGATGTTCAAGGACCATGGGATTAGGGTAAGGCCTGAGATGACTATACAGAGGCCAATGGTACCACTTAACAAGACTTCTTTCCGACGAAGCCAAGGTCACAGTGAAGCCCCGACGACGAGACAAGAGGTGCCCCGTACCCGAGGTGTCGACGAGGTGCAAGTTGTCCTAGATGAGGAGGAGAGAGAGAGTTAGATACAGAGATAGCCCAACAACAGCCAGAGGACGAGGCAAGACCCTCCACCAGCTCCAGCTCCTAGCGCTCACTTCGAGACATCATGCTTAGCTTTGAAGCTAAGCAGGATGAGATTCTTGGCCTTCTGATAAGTGGAGCTGGAGGACAGTAAGAGAGGGGGATTTTTGTTCTTGAGTAGAGTTATGTGTGTTTGTTTCTTCTTCTGTGGATGAGCTTCTTCTTTGGTGGTTTATTGTGGATATTTAAACTTCTTGTGTTTTGTCACTTCTTTTGTGGATGAATTGAATTTGTAGAGTTTGTGTTAAATGATCATATTTTGTGAAATGAATGGTTCAGTTTATCACTTTAATCTATTTAAAAGCATGTGTAGAAATAGCAGTATACTGTTATGTGCTAAAAAATGATGGAACAAATGTGGATGCTAAGGCTGTTTGTTAAAGTAACTAATCACATGATCAGTCTGACACCTAACTTAGCAATCTACACTTAAAACAACAGATCCTTGAACAATGGTATTTTCTCTATGCTTAAAATGTCAAATGTACATCAGTATTTGTTATTCTTAAGGTACAAGATGATTGGACTAAAAAATGGAATTGATATATAACCAACATTCCCTGAAAAACCTGACATGAGAGACCACGGTAAGTTTTGAGCCTCACAATGCTTTTGAGAGACGATCAACATTTACTCAACTAAGGTCATTCACTTTCAATTTTTGAATAATCTCATTAAATTGCTTTGATTGAAGCAACTGAAGTGATCTATTGACATATCCCATAAGGAATCTATTTATAGGACAAATACATATGCACATACTTGAGAAAGGATCTTAGACTATCTTTGATTTAATTTTGAGCTTTAGTCATTTCTTTTACAAAGTTATATCCCTAGTTAGTCATGCTTGAGCCTTCAAACGAATGAATTCTTTTTCAAGAAATCCATATGACAATTAAGCCTCAGGAAGATATATTTGACATATCTTGCTATCTAATTTTCTTACACCTTCTTATCTATCAAAATGATATAGAAAAGCAAGAGAAAAAGGTAATAATGGCTTCTGGTAAATGAAAGAAAAGTCTGGGAAAACAACCAAAAGTGAAGAAGGACCAAATAAACAGAATTTTGCCAAGAAAGTGAAAAATGACAAAAATGAAAGAAAGAAACACCAGTTCTAGGCAAAATGTCGAAAAGCCAGAAAGAGGTCTGCTACACGACATAAAAATGGGCTAGTTTTTGAATACCATTGACGTCATTTCTTTAGCTACTGACCTCCAGCCACATTACATCCTATACAAAGCCCTAATTGATCTCAAGTCTTATGCATGTGTAAGTCGTCCACTACAAGTTGGGATATGTTAACTAGTATTTCTTTAATTGTATCAATATTCCTCCATGTGATTATGCCAAAACATGAATAATTAGTTGTCTTAAAACTTCCACTCCCTTTCTAACTGTGCATGTGATTTTTTGATTGGTCATCTTTTGATCACATGCCCTTTGTGAGACAAGTCAAATCACTAGAATCAAAGCAAATTTTTGCTGAGAACATTCTAAGAAAAGTTTTTGAAATCAAAGCTATCCATGGAAGGTGGTAAAGTGGAATATTTGTTATATAACAATTGTTGTTTCTAGAATGATTATTCTCACTACACGGGGAATTCCAAATGCCAATGTAACAGATGTTAATTTTTGCATAGAATAAATACCTACAAAAAAGAAATATGTTGGAGATAAGTCAAGATTGAGGGTTGGGTGTCTCAACGACCATGATGCTAACTTATTTTAACCAACAATCTCACATACACATCTGTTCAACTGAATTTTGTGGGTAGCTTTACTAAAAATCCTCATGAGACAACACTCGTCTACTAGGGTAAACCTAGTGGTTCAACAGCTTGTTGCATATGCTAAATGCAACCGAATGACCTACGAAAATGACACTAGTAATAGATTTTTATGAAATTGTTGTATTACTAGATACTAGCAATATTTAGGTTGGGGGTGTGGTTAGTAGTTAAAATCAGCATATCACTATGCCTTTTTAGGACTAATTGTACTTTAATGGAGTTTAAATGCTGGCATTTCAAGACATAAATTGTACAAGGGACCAAAAGCAATGAATGTCACACATTCGTGCAACACCAACATATTCTAGAGCAAAATTGGAAAAGTTTGGACCAAGGCAAGAACGTTTGAACGCCAATCAACGTTCGAACATTCTCTTGAATTATTGAAGATCAGACTATAGGATGCTAAGACAAGGCATGTTGTAGCCAAAAAGGAAAACACTAAGGTACTTGAATACCACTTTCGAACGCCAACTCACGTCCGAACGTCCACTTGATTAATTGAGGACCAGGATGCAGAGTACAAAGCGCCAAGTTGTGCACAGAGTGTGAAAATGGGTTTCCACAGAAGATCACAGGCTACTTGAGTAGAAAGGTCAGACCTCATTTGGCATTTGAATGCCCATCAAGCATAGACAGTAACAATGTTCAAACGCCAAACAACGTTCAAACGTTGATCCCAAACAAGTTGCAGAGTGGTTGATCTTCTCTTCGGACATTGGAACTTTCAGTTGGACTTTGAAGGTTCTACACTATTCCCTCACACACTCTTGTCCCCCTCCTCTTTGCCTATAAATACTCCCCTTGAGAGAGTTTCTTAAGGGAGTTCCTTTAGAGGTTTTTTTTTAGTCTTGTAGAGATCTAGAACTTGATTTTGTAGGCTTTGACTACACCAAGACTAGTAAAAGGCTTGAAGGAGGCTTAGAATCCCACTTGTAGTTGCAAAAAGCTTGAAGGAGATAGATCATCTTTTAGTTGCAGTGAAAATCCTCTAAAAGTGACTAGCTTTCTACTACTTTCATTAATTGTCTTTCACTTCCATTGTTTAAGCTTCTTTCTTCTCTTAGATGAGTGAAACTCTTCCATTTTTCTAGAGTTTCAAAGCCGTGAAGGGTGGGGAACGTGATTCACTTATTCTTTGTCGAATATCGGCTCTTCACTTATTGTGCTTTGCCTTGTAAGTCCTCTACTTGGAAAGATGGACATCACTCACTTTTCTAGTTTTACTAAAGCCATGAAGAGTTAGTAGTTTCTCATTCACTCTATAATAAGAGGTGATGAACATGTATAAATCATCTGAAAGTTATATTTTGTGCATTTTATGTATGCTTTAATGTTTAGGATAGACCTTCATGACTACTTGTCAATCTTCACTATTATTGGTTCATGTAAAAGATGAAATATTATTTTCATGGTTAGATGTCTTGTAGAAACACCTACTTGTTTGTAGGCGGGTTGAGTCTCAGCATCGACAATTTTTGTAAACTTCTAAAAAGGCATTGAAATTATGTACTTAATTCTCACAATTCACTTTTATCTTCTCATTAACTTACCGTTGACAGGGGAGTTACTTGAGTTGCCAAGCACAATTATAATAAACTGGATGATTAACTACATGTTCAGATCCTCGAGCTAAAGGGTGATTGTTTACATTTGAATTTATCTTATATTTTATCTAGAAAACTAATTGGAAAGAATCTTCTATTCTGTTTAGAAAATCTCATACTTTCAAGCTCTCAAGATTTCTAGTTACTTGGTATTTATCACTGTTTACTTCAAAACACTAATTATAGTTCTATGTGGATTCAACTCTGGACTTAACCAGATTATTACTACAACTTGACCTCCTGTACTTGAGTGTACACATATCGGATCAAGTCAAGTTTCTAGAATCGTTGTCGGAAAACCATAAAAGGTGTTTTCAAATAAAAGATAAGAAGACCTTCCTTTTTGTATATATTTTGTCTTTGATTTTTTTTTTTTTTTTTATTTATGTTTGAGTACGATCCTTACTTTCAAACTTTACCAACCTGCTTAACTTAGGTTAAAGATCCCTCGAACTCGCGACAAGTTACCCATAACTTATAAAAAGAAGGCAAAGTTTTTCAGCTCATCCTTGCGATAAGTTCCTAGGCTTATAAGAGCGCTCAAGCTCACAATAAGTTACACTTGTAAAAAAAAGTGTGAGCTCTTCAGCTCATCCATGCAATAAGCCACATGGCTTATAGAGTGTCAAAACTCATGATGATTCCCGAAACTCATGAAAGAGCTCCAACGGCTCGACTCGACAGAAAGCTCTTTAAATCATCCTCTACACCAAGCCCATGGAAGTGCCCAGAGCTCACAATGGATTACTTGCAAAAAAGGACATCTTAGCTTGATCCAGCAATATGAACTCAAAAAGTAACGACTAACTTGCAAAAGGGAAAGCAATGTTTTGTAACTCATCCGGGCAAATAATGAAACCAAAACTTAATAAAGCAGTCGAACTTGCAAAATTTATACAGGTTTACTCAAAGAAGGCATTCGAGGCAAAGAAATTACATTCAAAAATAGAGGAAACTACAAGAATCAAAACACTTCAAAACTCTCCCAGTCAGTGACGAGCCATGACTGACCAGGTTGTTGGAGGAGGACGTACTAAGAGGCCGCTCCTCAGGATCTGGGCTTTTTCCTCTTCAGTTCCCTCACCTGCTCCTTCGGCCTAAAGGAGCTGAAGAAACAAGTGAGGTCTATTTCTGTCAAACCCAGCCTAGAGGAGCTTCCATTTCTTCACAATCAGCTCTAGCTAAAGTTCTAGCTCAACAACAACCAAGGACCCCACCCTAGCGTTTGAGGGTCCAGGGGCAGCAGAAGGCCTGTGAAGCCTCTTCCTGGAAGTGGCACTTTCATCCAACTCACCATCGGGAATAGTAGCAAAGCTGACTTCAACGGCAGCAACCGAAGTAAGAATAGGGGCAGGGCCTAGCCCAAACCTAAAAAGGTTCTAGGTAGTGGCCAGCTCCCCGAAGGGCATCAACTTGAGCTGGGAAAGCTCAACCCATTGACTTCGGCAAAAACCAATCTCAGAACTTCATCTACACAAAACCAATAAACAACAAGTTAAATAACACACGGCTCGGAAGAGATTAAAGAAAGAGACAAAAGTCTTACCCAAGTTTGCAATACGCCGCTGGGTGCATGGGACCTGGATAGCATCCATAGCCCCCTATCCATACTCCAACCATTCGCAGTGACAAAAAAAGAAATTGTGTTCCCACCCTTTAAGTGATGGAGGAACATCAACAACAAGCCTGAGGATCTATATCCTCCGAGAAACACAAAAAAAATCAGGGAGGAAACTCATAAACCAAGCAGAGAAAATGAAGGCAACAAAAGATTTAAAAGAACCTAAGAGAATGCCCCAACCCTCAGGAATAAGTTGAGAGGGACTGAGATCGAAGAAAAAAGAAAACACCATATAGAAAGGTGTATGGGGGGAGTAGAGCCCCATCTCAAAGGCCCCTTCAAAGAAACAAATCCTCTACTTTCGATGAAGGTTGCAAGGCTCATCGACAGTAGGGGCCTGGCAAAGAAACCACAGGAAATTGGAAGTGCTCTTGGATAGCCACAACTTTAGCCCAAGACACAGAGTTGGGCCTCAAAAAGCCACCCCAATGTGGGTACTCAAGCTTAATCGCACCCATTGTTTAAAAAATGAAGAAGCAGATAGATCCATAAAGAGCAAAGCACAAAAAAAGGCAAGTTTGGCTCAACAGTGTTCAATGTGAAGTGGAAATAAGGAAATGGCATACTTATAGAGCAAAGGAAGTGATGCTTAGTCTCCTGCAACGCTTCGATTAAATGAGGGCAATTATGCATTTAGGAAGTACACAAATTAAACACCCTTTGCCAGAGTTATGATGATGCCAGCACCGGGAAGGATAACCGT